TATATATAAAGCACTCGATGAATAGAAACGCTCTGGACTGCTGAGGTTTCAAGATCTAGCCAATCCATCACCCTTGCAATCTTGATGATCAAAACTTGTCGACATCGAAACTGAATTGAACAATGTGAATATAATAAACGTTAAAGAATTGTTTCTATTGTAGCGTCCCGAGGCTTCCCATCGGGTGGAAGAAGGCAGTAAGTGAAGCTTGACACGTGTGTTCCAAAGAGAACGAAGTTCACACGTACAAGGGCCAGACAAATTTTAAAGTGGCCGCTAGACGTCATTTGGTCATATAAACAATGCATTACATCTACTTTGTAGGGCCACTGGTTCTTTGGAAATTTGCATATACGGGATTCTGTAACTTATTAAAATGCTACCTCATATTTCGGTTCACACCAAATGGTACTGCAAAACGCACCGACTGTTCCCGTTGTTACAGTTAGCAGGAGGTATGCCACCGTAGGACAGGATCTTTGCCCCAGCTGCTAGTGTGTCACGGATATCGGTAACCAGGTGCAGGTGTTTATAAAGCGAACTCCAAATATTTTTGCGTTTTTTGTCCTCATTTGCATTGCTTTGCATATTAATACACAGTTTCTTAAAGTATATCAATGATTTATGCGAATATTAATAGCTTGCTATTTCTTTGTTTGCTAACTTATGAACATTGAAGAAAATGCCCTAAAGAAGCTATTTGTACTGCTATGAATGATAATTAAAAGTCTCCAACCGCCAATTCAAAAAAATCACATTTTGAGATGATAACAATTTTGATCAGAATGGATTGATATGTTGAGGATCAGGTGAAAGTGCCATGAAAAGTATGCTTGGGACCAGAGCTGAAAAGTGTAATTGTATTCTATTAGCCTCAGTCTTCTTCTGTCCTTATTGGTGAACTTTAAGAAGCTTCTTTTTATAACGTTAGTGCACAGGAGTAAGGGTGTAGTAGAAGTAGGGAAGCGTCCAGTCTCAGCCCACGCCTAAGGACTCTGTCCGTATCTCAAGAATTACATTTGAATTACTCCTCCTTCCTTCCTAGTAGGTGCATTTTTGCAACTAGCGGGCATTATGATAGCGTTTATAACTTTATACGGCTCATCGGTTGTGATTGAACAGACAGTAAGATTCTTTACTCTTTTTAAAAATTATAGCGGATTGCTGGGTGCAAAAATCTTTAAGCACTTAAGGTTCATCAACTTAGTTTAGAAGTCGGCCGTAATGGAACATCAAGTTAACTAGACGCATAGATGTTTAAATGAAAGTTTATTCCCAAAAATCGTGAAGTGACTTAATACGTCAACGGCTTTGTCGACGCTCTTTACTTCAGCTTAATATTCATTTCTACTAATATGGATCAATTTTTGCAAATCGTTTTCACAACTAGTAGTGAGGTTTTGAATGATAGGATCACAGAGTAAAGTTTGGTTGGCAGTTCTATCAAGCATAAAAACCTTTTGCTCTACGCACTGCCGAATGAGGGACATAGTGCAACAGCTGATGCTGCGGAAAAATTCAAAGGACAGACATTGGGTGGAAGCGCTTCCAATCACATAACTATTTCTGTATTCAGTCTTGGAGCTTTAACTATTCCTCTATATGTTTGCTGAAGGCTAACGTCCAGCTCCCTTGAAACGCCGACTTCAGTTAGTTAACCACCCTTCAAGGTTGTGCGCAATTTAAACGAGCAGAACGCCTCAGATGGCTGTTTTGATGGTGTTGCTAAACTTTCATATGTTAAGGCACAAAGTGACGAACTATGGTGCAGTTTGCCACCTTTTTAAAACGGAAATAAACCAATCTTATACCAGGAATTGGCATTCCAGTACCGGATGTTTGAATGAATAAAGGAATTCAAAAGTTCAGGCGCAATGGAGTGTCGAATTGCATTCCTAAGGTAAATTTTGGGTACTTTATTTCAGTTCCAAATCTTCCTTGAGGATCTCGAGACTATAGTCTCAACTTTAAATCCCGCAGTATCCTTTACACATTGTTCAAAATTCATCCTATTTGTGATTGCACTGCTTTCGACAAATTCAAAGCGCCGCATGGGATTTAAGATGTGAAATTTGATTTACAACAATAATTTGGTAAGCCAACTGTTACAATGGGCGGTTTCCGCATGCTATCTTCGTCAACATTAGCGCCACAAAGCTTCCGTCCAAAAAAATCCATTCATTAAAACTTTTGGGTGCATTCAAACTTTGCGTTGTTTTGTGATCAATTTTGGTGTATCAAAGCGCATCGCCCTTTGTTTAAAACTGCAGAGGTCTGACGGTGCTGCTGGACCACGGTTGGGCTACACGTTCGATGCTTAAGCCATAAAACTCTCCCCTGTCTTCCTGTTCATTTTTAGCCCAGTGGCCGTGACTCACATCCAAACCGCCCATCAGGTGGCCGCCAACGTCACGTCTGAAGTAGGCGCATAACAGAGGGTAAAAAGCGTGGTATGTAAGACCAGCACCAAAGGTAATTCTGTGAAGTACGGTCGCCTGGGAAAAGTGGAGATATGTACCGAAGTGAAATACGAAGAAGAGAAAGAAAAAGGGGCTCCACACGAACACAGGGAGAAGGTTGTCCATAAAGTACATTTGTTGAACGGAATTATATGAGAGCAGATGAGTGGCACTTGGAGACTCGATGAGGACATTCAGCACGTTCGTGTAGATGGAGTGCGTGAAGAGAAGCGGCACAATGAAAGCCATGGCTATGTGGTGAGCAATGGCAAGTTTTTGGCTGCCAGTTCCATCATTATAAAGACGAAACATGTCCATAGTCTCGAAGCATAGCATGTGCCTCCCCGTTTCAGCGGTTAGAGAATGCACAAAATTAGCCACAATTGCTTGACCAATGAAGAAAGAGAAGATGCAGCCTAATATTATCCATCCACCATGGCGTCGATAGACAGACGGGAAGACGAGGCGAGTAAAGAGGTACCAAGCTTCCATGACCATAAGGGCCATACGGATGGCGAAGAAGACCCAAAATGCGGGTTTCGAAATTACGACTTCACAACCCATCCACCTCCGTCGCAAGGAATTGTGCACTATCCGATATATCTCACCCAATGCGTAGAAGAAGCAGGCCAATAAGTCGCAGCACCCCTTCCCAATAGCAAACCAAGCAAATGGGGTATATTTCTTAAGGAGCAGATGTATGATAAATGAAATATTCAAAAGAATCCCAATCGCGGCTGCTACAACTGCAAACCAATAGCCACTGACTAGCGGAAATTCCACAGGTACCTGGCTTGGAGGTGGAGGTACATTGAGCCCACCATGAGTTTGCCAGTGTTCTAAGTACAATCGAGAAACCGATGCTTTCCCCGACATTTGTTGAAACCAACACAACACTACATCGTAGGATCTGCTGCCGACCACGTGCGCATCCTCTGACGGACAAATCGATACAAAAGGGGCGACGGGAGAAGTGGAGCGCTACTGTATTTCCATAAGATCGTTGATCTAATACCCCTACCCAAAGACAGTAACCAAGTTGCATTCAATACATACTTGATGGAAAAACAAGCTCACAAATTTCTACCTCTCGATATCTCCAAAAAGCCCTAGTAGCAGACATTTCGAATCACGTATTCACAATTGAGAAGGGCAAGCTATGTGCAAATGCCCGCAATTCAAGTTGCATCAGCACTGCTGCAACCACTGTCTCGACCACAAAAGATAAGAATGTGAGTACAATATTAGATTTTTTATGATGATGCATTTCACCAAAGAAACCATGAGAATTTAAACGACGTATATTGCCTTACATATCGAAGGAACACGATCGCAATTTGGAACTATGATAAACAAGGGGTTGATTCCAAATTAATCGAGGAAACACTTTAGGATTTAAGACATCGAAGTCGCCTGGTAAGGTCAAAATAGGTTCACAAAAGTGTAAATACAGATCTAGTAGAGTTCCAGTAAAGGTGAATTGGGAGATGGAAGAGGAAATGTGAAAATGCGAGTAAAAAGTCGATGACACATCGAGTCTGAAGAGTAAAATTTACAGAGAAACTGAGACCTTTGTACAGTAATCAGTATTAGCTATGTAGTTGAGATCTCAGTCGTCCTATGTCAGAAAAACACGCGCGAGGACGTAGAAAATGCATTTTTCGCACTCGTGGTTAAATTGTCATCACCTTGCGTGCACATCGCTGAACACGCGCACACATGGATATTTACATGAGAGCAGGGTAGGCTCGTGAATGGCTGGCCTGTGGTGGAGGCTGCGGTTGCAGGTGCTGGTGTAAGTGACTCGGCATTGATGCGGGCGGTGGCATATAATACTGCTGCTGTGCTTGAGATGCCTGTAATGTCGGCGTAGGAGGCATCATCACGACACCACTATTACTGCTACTACTGCTATTTTGAGATTGCTGAATGTAGAAGTCGTTTCCAGTCATCATTTGAACCTGCTGTTGCTGCCAACGTTGCTGTTGGTAGGTCACATCGCCCATGTACATCTGGGAGGTCGGGGAGACAAATTTTTTGGTGACAGATGTTGTAGGCGTGACGGCAGAGACAGATGTGGAGGCGGAGGACGGAAGCTCGGTATCCACCCTATAGGCCACGGAAGTGCTTGAACTTGCGGGTGATGGGTAATGAATGTGCAACTGCTCGCGATAGGGTCCTCGGGACTGGGAGTTCGCGCTAGAGGCGGAAACGGAGTATGTGGTTGCGCCTTGAGGAAAATCGAAGGGATTTGTATTGTCCAACTGCTGCACCTGAGGCACATCCACCACGGAAATGGGGAATCCCTGCGGATACTTCTGAGTCGTGGCTGGCCCACTGCCTACATAAATCCCCTCAGGCAATGCTGTCATCTCCCCTAATGAGAAAATATGATAATAATAGTAATAATAATAATAATAATAATAATGGGAAATCATCCTTCATTAGATGTTTGCTCACAAACTACTTTGAATGATGCTAATACAAATAGGCTTTCATAAAACGACATGGAACACTGAAATTTTCCTATTTAAAAAGTAGGAAACAAAATAAGGGCAAGGAGAGTAATTGTTCGTTTTCCTACTATCCTACGAATCGTTAATAGAGCGACTGAGTGATTAAAATATTCACACACCGAAAGATTAAAGCGTACATTAATTACTCTTGTGGTCAAACGATCATGGTACGATGTGATGAGGGTGCGAATACAATCCGTCAGCCAAGTCACAACCGTCGAGAAAGTAGTAGATTTCATGATTCGACTAGATGCGCGCACTAACACTCGCAAGCACAGGAAGCGAGACGCAAAAAAACCATTGCGATTGCGGTAGTAACGAAATACGTCAATATAAAGGTTGCCACATCTTCCAAAATCACAAACACACAATCAGAACGATTTGCACGTCAACATGCTAAGCAAAAGTGGATTTCTAGCTTAAAAGTGTTGAATGAAGGACTAGACGAGTGACCATAACATCACGAAATTTGACCCCAAACCGAAGGAAAAAAAGGTAGCAAATTGAATAAAGAAAATAAGATAATTGAGGCACCGACGCAAACAAGAAGGAATTTGTGAATACGATTTGAGGCGAAATTTTCAAACAAACAAGCAAACTTCAAGGGTGACCTTAGTTAAAAAATGAGTAAACGAACCGGAATGAACTCCACTGCCACCACTACTTATTGCCATTGAGTTTTGCGTCATATTTGACATAGAAAGTTGTGCTGGATGCGCTTGTGAAGGATCCACTTTTTGACCTCTTTGTTGTTGCTGTTGTCGGGACGGAATCGTCGTTGTCCGATGCTCGGGCGTGGTCAGAACAGAAGTAGCAGCACCGACGCTTACCGTTGAGGGACTGACCGACGGAACTGTTGAGCTGTTGGCCACAGCATTGGGAGCCACCTGAGAAAGAGATGATTGGATTTTTGACACGGATGGTGGAACTGTAGAGGCTGCTGATTGTGGAATTCGTGGCTTTCCACTAACACCAAGGGGGGCCGGCTGTGCTGGATACTGTGCTCCAGGCGCACTGACTGTGTTTGTTGGAGTTATCGGAGGAGTAGAAGCGCCCGATTTCGCAGATGACGTGGAAGGAGCGGAAGCGGAGGAAGTAGGAAGATATTGAATGGTATGGGGAGTCTTTGGCATTATTTGCACATTACTTGGGGGTTGTGGGGTACGCGACTCAATCCTCTGATTTGGTGGAGGCTGTGACATTGGGCAACCGGTGCTGCTGTAGTAGGGATGCTGTTGCTGTTGCATAAACTGGATCTGCATCTGAGCGCTGCCGCAGCCTCCATTGATGTGTTGATAATTCATTTGCTGAACGTTCAATTGTGCGTTGAAGAAGGTGTTATTGACCTTAAATGCAAAATAACTTATCAATTGGAACTACAACAATATCTAATAAATGAGAACTTCAGGAGTTATAAGTAAACCAAGTAAAAACTCTCGACCGAAACATATCCTTTAATACCCACATAACCTAGTTTCAAGAGCTAATTTGAGGTTGAATGCTTTCGAAAAATAGGACTGTTTTTGCCCCTTTTGGTTGACGAATAATTAAGGTCAGTACTCTAATCAAAACCAAGTATATAGAAACTCGTGATGCCAACTCAGCAATTTAGGAATTTGCAACTTGTTATGCACCTGACGGTACCCCGTACACGGTATCGTGCCACCGCCCTTGTTAATGTAGACACGTATGGCCAAAAGCGCGCCTACGTAAGTCAGTTCTCGGCCTGCCTGCCCCCACAAAAACACGGACTCAAAACTAATGGTAGGTGAGTGTGACAGTAGAAGTGCGTACTAGGAGCGCATCGAGACGCTACCAAGAGGGAGTGACAAAGGGAGAGAGAGAGAGAGAGAAGGCAGCTGGATACGCAAAAACTCCGCGCGCACACGCGCAAAGAAGTAGCCCTCTCACATCCATCGATTAGAGGTATAAAAGCGCACACATACACACACTCGTACGCACGCACCTAGACTCAACAGAACAGCCTCTCGGTTCGGGTGCACGCACGCACAAGCATCCTACCACACTAGTGAGGGGACAGACCGGAGCAGGCACACCTCTACTAACATCCGATACTCACACGCTCACGTCATCATCTCTGATTCGCCAGCTCTCGAGCCGGTCTAATGAACACTGCAGTAAATGGTTAACGTACACAGACCACAACGCTGAGGCCGTGGGACAAATAAAAAAGTTAAGTTATTTAATAAATATTTAGATGCGATGGGCTGCACAAAATGTGTGCTCCTCAAAAGACCAAATTATGATCTCAGCTCAACTATAAGAGTCAGAACCTGCGCCTAGGACTCAGAAGAGCATCATTACATAAAACTCGTATGATCTTCGCATTCAAAGCATAGAAGGCTTAGTAAGAAAAATTCTAAGTTATGAGCATGGTCCACATTTCACAAAACAGACTATGTATTTGACTTAAATTGATGCGTGTCAAAAAATGGACGAGGACGCGGGAATTCTCACATCGCCTGCGAATCATATGAGACTAAGCTTTATGCTAGAGCGCACCCCTTTCGATTACACGAGATGCGGAGTTCAGCAGAAGCGTTTACAGGTAAAATTGGAGAGCACATATACAGTGGGTGAGCTTCCAGAAATAAGAAATAAAAACGAAATCACTTTCTCTCATATCCAGAAAGCACGACTCGTATTACCTGTATTGGTTGAGGAGGGGGAAGTGGTTGCTGCTGTGATGCAGACTGTGACGTCGCAACAGAGACAGGAGGCACAGAGTTTACAGTTGCAGGAGTTGTGGGAGAGGCGGAGGTCGGACAGAGGGGTGGTGCGGAACTCGGAGTAAGACATCGAGACGCGGAAGTGGGAGGATCTACACTCGAGCGTTGTTGATCGGATGACGTGAAAACACCGCCGGAACACGGTGGCTGCACTTGATCCAAGGATCGAACACCACTCGCAGGCTGGCTAGAGGGACCTGTGGAAAACTGCTGCTGCGGCGACATCTGCAGACGCGAGAAATTAAAATGTGATTGTTAAGGAGCAGGAAATTTAGAGGGTATGAAAAACAACTTCTCGATTATTACTACGGTTAATAATGACCCAGTGAAACTTGGAAATCACTATGCCTCAGGCTCTGGGTGACGACCTTCACTCCATTAGTAGCAGGTTACAGAGAACAACGAAAATGTGAAGGACAAAAACAGGTTATAATATACTCTGTAGAAAAGGCTTTGGGTTGGTACACGCGCAGAGATACGACAATTCTGCTTACTAAACTTCGAACGTCAGCAAGGCATTGTATACAGAGAAAAACGCAACCTCCCGTTGCACATTAAATTTCTTTTACCAATACTTACTATTAACCAGTCGAATCATATTAAATGTAACAGAACGAAATTATGCTCGTCTCCTTTGAAATGTTTGATCACCGATCTAAAGATCATTACATATAAATCCACTTCTGAAGTAATTATGCATTTTCATCGCTCAGACCAAAACGGAATGCATTTTAACATCCAGGAAAAGTACACCCAAGAGTAAGAATAAGAGTTTAATAAAAAAGAGAGAAGCATGATACGTAGAAACAAGTTTACCCATCCATAAATTGCGGATAATGCTTGGATCCACTTCTTATTAGGCTGAATAAAGTCAGCAATTGGAATGACAAGTGCTCAAGTCAGTTTCGTATAAGATGTAGGCATGGTTGATGCTAGTAGGATAAGGGCAATTCTGGTGGGAATGGACTTCGACAATGGAAAGATAAGAAATGGACAATGAAGCCAAACCAATAGGTTATTACTTGGAGAATGCAATGCAATGACAAAATTTAACCACAGAATCACAAGGATGCAAGAGCAAATAGAGAGCAGCCTATGCATTTTAATTAAAGCGTACGCCAGTCAAAAGTAGTAGACGACTACGATAATGCGCCCTCATAAAGGCAGATGATATAAAAAGTTGAGTGATGAATTACTACCTGCTGACCTCCTTGAGGTATCGTTATAGCTTGATAAGGAGGGCCACCACCGGTAGCACAAGAGTTTGTGGGAGCAGAACCCATTGTGTAGAGGCAGCTTGGATCTCCATCGGGATTAGACATTATGCCAGGACCGGCCCCACCAGAGAAGGCAAGAATATCGGGTGCAGAGGCCATTCTTGAGTAGCCCGAAGGTGGAGGAGGACAGGCAGAGGCGGAGTTAGTCGAGGCCGTAGGAGGACAAAAGGGGCCTTCAGAACCCGAGAGCTGAGAAAGGCGTGCGAGGCTGGCAAGGCTCGCAGAAGTAAGGTGCTGCGTAGGTGAGGAGGAAACAGGGGCACTATCTGCTGGGTGAGCGTAGCCACCAGTGGGAAGCTGCTGTTGGGAAGTGGGTGGGAGAGACGTGTTTGTAGAACAAGGAGGAATTGGTGGATATTGAGACTGTTCTATCATTGTCGATGGATTGGCTGAACCAATGCCAGTCCCTCGGTAGCTAGAATTCTAAAATAGGCGGCTAGCACATTATTACCAAGCAAAACCCTGATTTTAAACAAATTTTAGCAAGCTGCATATTCTGCAAGTGTAACTGACGCAAATATACTACGGGACGGTTTTGAGGAATAATCGACGAGTTTCCGATAGAGACCATTACTTACCGCGTACAACCTCGTCTAGCTTAAAGTAAAGCCGGCTGTTACGCCAAATAAACCCCAAAGCCGAATGGTACTATCACTGTCATTACTTAAGCAGGATCGTAGGGAGATATTCACCGGTTTCAAGCATTATAAATATAAATTAGGGGACGTCTAGCAGCTGGATCATGATTATCATCCGCTAAACAACTCCAATGAGGGTAGATCAAAAGCCCGTTATTCGCAGAGTCTGAAGCGCCTAACTTTCTAAACTCATAACTTGTATAACACGTTCCACAGCTTATGTTCTTCCATTTGGATAACTTAACAGATACGCTAGCGCGCGCAGGAAAGGACTGTCAAAACAGTAACGAAGGAAAGTTAGCGTTCAACCTTCCTTCGCGTTCCCTCGCCCCCGTTCACCTCGCTGCCTGCTCTACCTTCGCCGCGTTGTACGCTGAGCAAAATGATGGCGGGTGCAGACTATTTTTAGCAAAACACCCTTGCCCTGGTACCACCCCTCAGAAGGGATTGTGCTGATTGGCTACGCTTAATTGTAGACGGTTACGCGCACGCTCACGCACTTTAATTCGAAATGCCAAGGCGAGTAAATGCGCCTGTGGATGAGGCTTGATTGCTTGTGCCTCTAGCATGAGTGTGCGCATGCGGACGCTCGCGTAGGTGTTCATCTCATTTTCCCTATCCCGATTTGGGACAAGGTTACACAGTCATCATAATATAGAAGGCAACCAATGTAGGAAAAAGAGGGGGAAAAACAAAACGAGGTCCTAATGAGCATATCCCAGATCCGTAGCGTTTCCTTTTAATGAGATAGAATCACTCTCGTTTCTGCGCAAACGAATTCCGTCAGTATAATGCCTTACTGGCAAACAAATACCAGTTCCGTATTCTAATAAAGCACGGAAAACGGACCAAACTACGGATTCAAGAAGCCAAATCGACTACTTAAGCTTTCCTTCCAACTAAACCATCCTGCACGTGCCCAAAGTATCAATTCCTTTCAAAGCCATCTCCTATGGCCACTAGAAGGCATGCGTGCGAAGCAGAAAAATAAAATGTTTTAATTACAAGTAATAATTCTGATACCAATGATGAGTACTCATGAATCAAAACAAGTGTCCCGTCATGGAAAGAGCGCCAAGGGGTGCCCCTCAGAAAACAAGTTGGTGAACTGTCTAGCATACTTTAGGAATCCCTCGATACCCTTGATAAAGTAAAAAACGAATTCAGATGGAAAACAACGACCAAAAATGGAGGTATAAATCACCAAACACACCACATATGCTCCGTTCATAGGATCACCAGGCATAGTTTGATATGAACCTCCTGGAGCAGAACCTCGTGGGGGCCCGATAGGAACACTTCCAAAACCTCCGGATTTCATCGGTCCGACAGAAGACTGAGGTTGTGACATCCGTTGTGGGCTACTAAAGGGAGACATAGGTGGCAGCTGTGGAAGGCGAGCCGAAGCCGATCGACCAGTCGCTCCTGAGGCCGACTTGCGCTTCTTGCTCAAACCACCTCTACCTGAATTTGGTCGACCACAGTTTACCGAAGTGGTAGCGACGGTCTGCTGCTGTTGCATCAGCATAGCTTGATGTTGCTGATGCTGCTCAAACATAGCCTGTTGTTGATCCCAGAATTGCTGTTCAGGAGGAGTCATCTCAGGTGGGTAGGGACGCTTGTATGGTGGTGGTGGTGGTGGTGCAGGAACACAGAACTTATTGGGTGGAGGCGGATATCCACATACATTGTTCGGCGGGACCACAAGGACAGGCGGGCCCCCACCACCTGGAGGAGGAGGGGGGACAATCGCATGGTCAATTGAACCGCTGTACTGGAAGTGAACCCCATTAGGATCTCCCATTGCGCCAGAGTGCTTCCGCTGCTGCTGCATCCACGGCCCCCGATCAAAGTCACGCTCGTCAGATCGAACAACCATCATCCCACGAGGTTGCTGATTAAGGTCGGCAGTTATGCCTCCGGTGGAATGAGGTGGAAGAGTAACTAGTAAGAGGAGAAAAAAATGTGACTAGATAATTTACAATGATCTTTCACAATACATGGTCGCAAAAAGATCGTTTGGATAATATCTCTTAAGTTGGTCCCAAATGATTCTAAATCAAGTGGAGGGAAACGGACACCCGTTCAGCATGTGAACTGCATTTCGTAAAGTGGCGGTGACAAGTGACTAACTAGTTTACAGAATCGCCTAAATACTATTGCGTTTTTTAGCCTCCGGAACGTACAAGGACGGAATCAATCCGGTCCCGACAACAGACAACCTAACGATAATTAAGGTGACTCATCAAGCACGCGGCAGCAGGACGATGAGTCACGGGGCTTAAATAACGTGCTGGTACTGCGGTGCTTCTGCTTGTTGCCCCGTCATCTTCAAATGCTACTAACACCACCACTTCGTGGTCCAAAAACAAACAAAACTTTCATCTAACCCAAATGATGCGAATGTTAATAGCTAAATGCTGACGCCTGGGGATATACTAATTGTGAATTCTCATGCGGGACCGAATGAGGGAAATAAAGCGACTCCCAACTCTCACTAACAGGGATGCGCAAATCTGAGTGATACAAATGTGGCAGAAAATGCTTTAATATATGCTGGAAGATGCGGTTGCGTGCTTTAGGCGAAATTACTAGCCAGTAATTATAGAAAAGTCTACAAGAGCATCGGGACAACTGCGAATTATGGCCAACAGAGCCTATCTCAACCACTAGGGCTAAGAGAGAGGTGCTTGGTGAGATACACCAGGAAATCAGCGTACGCTGATCATGCTGAATCGGAGGGATCGCGGTACCAGATGGAGGCGGAGGTGGTGGTGGCAGTGACTGAGGCAATTGACCACCATTACCAGTGGCAGCCGCATACAATTGTTGCTGCTGCATAGCGGCAACCGTCGCAGCGCCAGGGGTAGAAGCCATTTTGCTTTTAGTAAGTTTCGAGTGTATTTTTTCTAGTTGAGCCATTTTACTTTTTCGGTTCTCCAGTTGTTCTTGAGTGACGGCGCAATTGACAGCGCTGCCACCAATGGTAGTGGGGTTACCACCATGAATTAGGCCGCTTTGCAGCATGAACTGCTGCACCAATGGGTGCATTGAATGAAAAGTCGTGATGCGCATTCGGGTGCGTTGACACTTGGCCGCAGCTTCGTTAGCCATTTCCGTAGTGAATACCAAGGCGTGAGGGGGCAACATGAGTGGGCCGGTTGGGAGGAGACCAGGTGCTGCAGCCGCAGGACGAGGTGCGCTACCACCCAAAGAGGAAATCGAGGAAGACATCGCAATGTTCGACGTCGGGACTGCATCAACAATTCCTTCGGAAACTAAAGGAAAAGTACAGTACGCGTAGTTAAACACTATACTGAAAATCAATGGCGTCGATTTGTTGTAGTTCCATCTAACTGGCTCAAAGGTAGAGAACACAGGAGAACAAAACGAATTTTATAATACGTAGGCTGAGAAGTTTAACGTCAGGTAAAAGTGAACGAGAGCAGAAGGATATTCATTACATGCGAGCCGACATGCTAGACGAGAACAATGTAGATACCTTTGGAAAACCTACCAGCATCAAGTTTTTGCCCGTTCATAGGAAAGGCGTGACTAGATGCCATGGAAGTTCTCCTGCGGCCATCACCAACGGAAGACGGAGCGGAGAAAGGTGGAGCCGAATGTGGCTGGCCACCGTCTGATTGAGAAGTGATTTCCGCAGGCATAGGTCCGCTGGCTGGTCGGCGAAGGGGTGAATCCAGTAAACGCTGCTGCCCCGATGCCGGCTCGTTTGCCGCCTTGATATGCTGCTGAGGTGAGGAGGAGCAGAGCGAGTAAACTGAGTGTGGAGGTTCCACGCTGTTTGGGTGCTGACAATGCGTTGTCGCTGTCGAACCGCCTGCTACAGTCGACGAGGACGGATGACCGCCATCCGGCATCCAAACTCCAGTGGCTGTGAGAGTGCAGAAACAGAACATAGCCGATAGTTAATCGGACCATTATTGCGAAACTAAAGAGCAAAATAGTGATGAGCCATTCCTTTGTTCCGTCCGTCCTCCATTTATTGTATACGGAACAACTTAGGAAAAATTCAGCACAATTTGTATTAAAAGCAAACCTTGAAGATAGTTAGAAAGTGACGAAGAAGAGATATGGAACAGAAGGTGGGTTGAATTGGAAAAAAGTAGTACAAAAATAAGAGCTTACGGTTCGAAGTCGAGTATGCTTAACACGCAAACTTCGACGCGTAAAGCCAGTTAAAGCCAATTCATAATTTTACATCCGACTAGGAAAGTAGACGTGTACATCGCTTGTACGCAGAGGCGTGCAAACGTGTGTGCGAGAATGTATGATGTAGGGCGAATTCCTGCGACTGACTGCCTCCACTACCACCACCAACACAAAAATAGGGTAGTGGAGGCCAGGAAGGCAGAGCCGTAGGAAAGAGCGGATAATTTTTTGCTCACGTAGCGCCTGTCAATTCAAACTGGTTCACATTCGTGGAATCACTCCTTTTTTCAGCCCTTGCTATACTTGGCCGAACAGAGAGAAGGAACGAGCAACATTACTATGCACGTTCTGAAATCCTTAGTCAAGGTACTTGAAAGGACCCTAAGGTGTGGACGTAAAAGTAGGCGACACTACTTGTGAGCACAACATTTCTGGCTATCAACAACATACTCATTCCCCACATGAAGACAATCCCAACAAATGTAAATAGAGTAGCGTTCTTAAGAAGTGTGCAAAGTGAGCCCATACGAGCAAAAGCGCATACTACGTGAAGAATTCAACAATTATACTGGAATATCAGATCCCTAAATACGCTATGCATGTGTACAGTCCTCTGAGAATCAAGACAAAATAAATGTATTACTTTGATCAATTTTCCACTAATTACGGTACTTCTTTGAACGGGAAGATTGGAAATGACTTCGTGTTCCAAGTCATTAGAATAGACGCACAATATCCCATCATCGCATTTCTTAGTTTCCCACAACGTTCCACCGAAAGCTGATCACTAAAAGAGCGGGATCGATGTCCAAAAAACACCCACACGAATATCCCTGACGCACACAAAACAGAAGTATCAGAGAAAGCAATAGAGACCTGGTTGGATTTGCAGATCCTCAAACTAACGGTTAAGCTTTAGTAATCACTATCAGGCACGGGCGTTACTGAATAGAGAAACTACCGCATATCGTGCTATATGCAGTCGTAGTCAATTAAATTTTAATGTTAGCCTTGCCTAGGCCAGTTAAGGTTTCCAGCGCGAGTGCGAACACGCGATGCACAACAAATTGATCTGTCCATACAGGGCCAGCACACAATACGCACACGCACGCGCACAAAAACGCTAAATTTTCCTCCGTGTCTCATTTCATTGCTCTTGATACACTTTCTCTTTCCAACGTGCACTCGGGCGCCAGAATACATTTGCGTGCTGTAATTTCCGGGCTGGCTGTTTTAGTGTTGTGAAGTGGCCAATCTGCCACGGGCATAATGTGTGCGCCTGTGAATCAATGCGTGGCACAGACACGCACGTGTGGCAGCCACCCTCTCTCGCCTATTCCAGCCAGGCGCGAGCCAGTGATGCGAAAGTGCAAAGGCGTGGATACGTGCACTAGCGCACCGTACAAACAGATACTGTCGCCGAACGGTGTCAGATGGAAGAACTGTGCCCCTTCTTGACCAACATTGTGGGCTCACACACTGCCACAAAAGAAAACACCAGACGAGACCATAAAACAATGTACATCCAGTGAAAAACCCACCCACGGGAAGGGGCACTCCCGCTGAGTCGTGGTTGCGATTTTAACTTTAGTTTAAGTTTAATCCCTTTTGATCATAAAAATATGAACAAGAGGAGCACAAAACTGCCATTTCGGGTGGGTCTCCAGAAGATTCGATAAATTGGACGCTACGTTAAGCAACACAGACAACCTACAATTTCATAAAAGGAAAGCAGTGAGAACTTAAAATGAGCACAACTAAAAAAGGGGAAACCACACGGAACCATTGTATCAGGACGATAAGCAGTTTAAACGAGAAAGTTAAACTACTTCCATTTTCAGAACCCAAAATGAACACTAGAAGTAGTTTGCACCTTAACCGGATCCAAATTAACACAAAAAACGGCTGAGAAACCTCGGATTAGTAGCATAGCGTTTTGCTTGCTTAGAAAACTAGGCGATAACGTAACGATGACCACAATTTACGCGTGAATCTGAAAATGGAACTGCGGCAAGTTCCTACCTCGTTCCGCCGCGAGGTTCTGCAAATGAAAGACATCTAAGCCAGTGCGAAAGTACACGTAATTTCGTGTAAACGGAGTCGCATCCACTTGAGCAATAAGGGAGAAAATGCAGGAGGAATATGGGACTACTTTAGGAACCATATGAGGGTCCTGAACAAATTACCTCAAAAATCCGTGCTACATGTTTTCAACACCGGTTACATTTCACAAGTAATGAAGGATAAAAATTAACTAAGACCACCACCAGTAAAGGGTATTGGATGGATAGATAATCGCTACAAGCCATGGAGCACTGACCAGGTGTAGAATTGACTTAACTTTCCGCCGAACTCATGGGAACCATGGAATAACAACGAGACTCGGCGCGCAATGATGCCATACAACACGACATAAGTATACATATGATAAGGAACCCAATTCCCAGACAATTCAATTTGGTTGACCATAAGAAAGCTCCTCTTTCCTAGCCTGTAAGGAGAAAAGCGGATCCGAGGTTATGAGAACAAGAATACACGGTCTAAGCGCCATGCAATTTCTTCCCAACTCTGGCCCATTTAGCTGATATGATCAGCGGGAAGTGAAGTGCAACAGAATGGCACAATGCACCGCAGACGGGCTTGGGGATTGGAAAAGAGTCTAACTCCAAAACTTGGAATGGGACGGAGCCTTTAAAAGTGCACAAAGCAAAGGAAGCATCTGGCAAAGGATAAAAATAATCAAAAGAAAAGGTGGCTTAAAAAAATCTGGGCAGAAAGATGCGGAGTTGCATACACGCCATTCACGCCCAGCAGTTTGGGTCATCACGCGAACAGGGTATACATTATTTGAGCAGAATGCTTGAGGCCTGGGTTAGAACCCAATCATCTGCTAATCGCAAGCTTCAAATCTGTCAAAAATTTATAAAAAGCACGAAAGCTGAAACAATGATCTAAGTTTGCTACTAACAAGCAGACAAGTCAATGAGACCCAATTTTAGTAGAATCGGAAAATTTGAAGCTGCGCCGTACGAATGCCATTGAGGCATACAAACTAAGATCTAGATTTCATTAAACAACTCACCTGATGCACAACACAATTTTGCACACGTTAATATCCAACCGTGTGGGTTTATGGGGGCGGAATAGAGTAATAATTACAGAGCATAGGACAGAGAAGAGTTTAAAAAATTACATGGAGTACTGGGAGCGGTGAGACTGGCCTTCACAGGTGCGGCAGATGACTCCGATGTGGACGCAGCAGATTGAGAGGGCTGAGATACACCAGGTAATGCAGAGGACACTTCATTGGGAGGAGTGAGAGGGCATGTGGAAGTAGAGTTCCCACTACTGCTCGCCGCACTGCTGCCACTGCCACCTTCCGTCGTCAGAGGCACACAGACCTGAGAGGATGGAGAAGCCGAGGATTTGATTTGAGGGAGAGGTGCAGAAACCACAGGCAATCCCCTTTGCTGCCGAATTTCTGCTAATTCAGCCGCTTCCTTATCCAAAAGTCGAGCCGAGTTGAGCTCATCAGCAAAGTCATTCATATACGGATTCTCAATACAGTCCTGTACGTATGAAAAGAGATCTTTTTTTAAAAAGTGGCATAGCTCTGCCTCCTCTCCGGCACGACCCAACGAGGCGATAAAGGAGGTCCATTGCTGGATTGTTGGACCGACAGCAACGGACCAGTGTGATGAGAAGCCACCCTGAGGAGTTTCGCGATAGAGGCGGAGATCTTGCGAAACAAAAGAAAGTATTTTCAAAGTAGAAATTTGCCTACAGTCCAAACAAGTTTTTCAGTATCATAAAGGTCTGCTTGG